CCACCAGGACCAAAGCCACCGGGCCCACCAAAGCCACCGGGCCCACCAAAGCCACCGGACCCACCAAAGCCACCAGCCCCTCCAAAGCCACCAGCCCCTCCAAAGCCACCTCCCATTCCTCTGCCACCACCAAAGCCACCACCAAAGCCACCTCCATAGCCACCCCCAAAGCCACTGCCACAGCTGCTACGCCCTCCCCCAAAGCCACCAGCCCGGGAGCCACCGGCCACGCTGATGGAGATGCTCTTGTTGCCACCCAGGCTGTAGAGGCTGCGACTGCCAAAGCCACCCGCCCCACCCCGGAACCCGCAGGCCCCTCCGCTGGCTCCCCCCGAGCGGGCCACACAGCTCATCCTACTGCTTCCTGAGACCACGGCAGAGCGACCCGAGAAGCCCTGGCCGCCACCGCCAGATGTCTTGCTGACTTGTCTGCTCATGGTGAGGGAGCTTGGTGAAGGAAAAGTACCAGAGTTAAGCAGGACACTGAGAGTCAGAGGAAGAGGGAAGGCAACTGAAGGCCTGTGCAAAATAAATCCCTTTATATACATCAAGGAGGTTGCTGGGCTCAAATGAAGGAGAGATAATTAATCCCAAATAGTCACGGGTTGGGTTTGCCTCCAAGGCAATAAGTTTGTTCCAGGCTACTAAACACACCTTGAAAATAATCTGAAACGGTAAAAATGCTAAGGTGGCAGGCTTACCTGGCAGGGGGTGGCTCCCGGCACTGCCCCATGCTTGGGCATGGCCACCTCCTTAGCTTTGTCTGACAGGACCCAAGAGGCACACTCCTCCTTGCCAGGTGCCCAACGGCCATTTGTCTGCCCTCAGCTGTGAAAAGAATGGAGTGAAAGGTGGGTGGGGGACGTTCTGGTTGTCAGGGTAGTGGAAACAATGAAGCCCACCCAAGCACTCGAGGGAAGTATCTCAACGGAAGGGGTGATTCAGTTCACTCCACAGACAACACATGGTCATGGAGTGTCCCCGGCAGGCCCCCACTCTGTGCTGGATTTGGGGTGAAACGATGACCTCCCTGCCTCCCCTTCTGGAAACAAAGCTCAGATCCCTGAAAACTCTGCCTCCTGCCTCCCCGCCCCCTGCCGCCCACCCCAGGCTGTAGTTCAGGAGACAGAGGTATTGGGATTCATGACTGTTTTGAAAAGGGGCATTAAACACCCATGCGCTTTGATGAGTCGTTAGCAACATTCAGTATGAGAAGTGTTTATTGGTTTGCTCGTTTGTTTTGAAAACTTCCCAGAGGAACCATACACTATTCCACCTTTTGGTGTAGCTCTAAAGCTTCCTTTCTTGCTCCCCACGTGTTGGGCACTTCTCTGGTTTCAGCCCAAGACCCAGAGGACTAGCGATTCAAACTCCAGTTCTACCACCAATTCAACAAATAGGTACCGATGGCCTACCTCGTGCCCGGCACTGTGCAAGGTACAGAGACTCATTGGTGAACAAAATACATGGATCCCCTGTGAGACCGCTCCTCGGGCTGAGGGGCTGTGCTCCTAGAAGTCTGTGGCCTCAGCATCCATACCCCACCCCCGGCCTCGGGGAGACAGACCTGGCAGGGCCCCAGCACTGCCATACGTGTCTGACTCCAAAAGCCTGAGAACTGCCAGCCTGGTGTTTTTCAGAGGCTTAGGTACTGGGCTTGGCTTGTCCAAGAGGAAAGCCTTCCTGCCAAATTAGCCGCTTATCTCTCCAGGACAGGCCTTTCTTCGTTCAGTCTGCTGCACGTTAGGCCCTGCTAAGGGTGTAACCTATGCCGCCTTGGCAGCAGCTGTCTCAGATTAGGAAAAAGGAGGAAAGGACAGGGGATGTTTCAACGCTGGGTGGGGCTGGGAATGGCCCGAGTGCAGAGGAAATGAAATTTTCTTCGGTGACCTGGTTCTCCTATTTTGTCCTTCTCTCGCCCATTTGTTGCCCACAGGCTATGCATCCTCTTGGCCCCTTCCCCAGAATAAAGCCGTAAGCTTACCGGAAGTTTATAGTCTTGGTAATGTACTGGATCCCTTCGTTCTTAGCACAGTGCTTTGCCAATAACAGGTGCTGATAAAAAATTGTTTGGTTGAATGAGTCAATCAATTAACTGATGAATTAATGAATAAATTAAGCCTTTCCTGGATTACAACCAAATGAAACTGGTCAAAAGTGGGTTCATGGGGTGCCTGAGTGGCTCAGTCAGTTAAGCACCTGACTCTTGATTTTGGCTCAGGTCATGATCTCATGGCTCGTGAAATCAAGCCCCGCATTGGGCTCTGTGCTGACAGCACAGAACCTGCTTGGGATTCTCTCTCCCTCTCTTTCTGCCCCTCTCCTGCTCACATACTCGCGCTCTCTCTCTCTCTCAAAATAAATAAACTTTCTAAAAAAGAATTCAAATCCCATTACATGAGGTACCCCAAGTTAATTGAGATCATCTCAACATGAGGAATGTGGACACCTCAAATTTGGTGTACAGCTTAAGAAAATATACATGCAAAATGAGTGTCGCCTCTTTTCCAATGGAAAAAATGTTGTAGAATCACAGTATCAAGAATCACTGATCAATCAATCAGGAACCACTCAATCAATTAAGGCACGCACTTGTCGGTATGAACACTGGGGGAGGTATGGAATAGTTGGATCACTATATTGTACATCTGTTAACTGTATGTTAACTCTACTAGAATTAAAATAAAAACTTTTTAAAAAAGTGGTCATCCTAGGGGCACCTGGGTGGCTCAGTCAGTTAAGCGTCCGACTT